TTTCGAGAGAAAGTGTAAAATCTATGAAGCTTACTTCACAAAAGAATCGGGACTTTGATAAATTCTAGGTTTTAATTCGGAATAGAGATATTGAGATTGAATTGTAGGATTAATTTCTAGCCGGCACTCGAGAGAGAGGAGAGAAATACAATTGGATTCTTACTTTTAAATATTGAAAAATTAATTGGATAATTTGATATCATTAAATCATAATTGAAAGTTGGTGAAATCATTCCCTAGGCTTCTTCATTTTGAAAATTTATATTCCTCAATTTTGTCTCAACCAATTTCATTACTTTAGTTAAAACAATCAATCAATCAATCATTCATCAATTGTCTAGATAAAATAGAAGTTGCATAATTATAGTACTTAGTGAAATTAAATTACAATCACTGTGGGTTCGACATCCTAACTTTCATACTATATTACAAAACTTGACACCGTACACTTGTGGCATAAATTCACGTTATAGAAAACGCGTGACACCAATCAAGGCAGTGACAAGTACTTCTGCCGAGTTGGACGCCGAGTCAAGCATACATGGTGCTCGATAGCCTCCCATGTGTTTCTCAAATTTGGAGTGGATTGGTGGAAGAAGAATAGATTCTTTTTTTTTTTAATTATTTTAATTAGTATTTGTTTGCACTTTTTACTATGATGAAATTAATTCTTTTATTTTTTTCTTCTTTTCTTTTCGTTTATTAAAATGGAGGGTAAAATCACTTTATGAGAAAATGGACGAATAGTTTGTATTCCGCAATGAAAAGGTTGTGTTCTACGAGGTTTGGTTGATATGAGGGATATTAATTATGTCAAAATGAAAGGTTATGAGGTATTGCACAGAATTGGTAAAGGTTAGGGGGTATTTCACTAGAATAATCCTACCTATAGAAGGAAAATGAAAAATGAAAAATTGTATTAGTGAAAGGAAAAATATTAATTTCTAGCTAACTAGGATATGAGCTAGGTAAAAATGTTCTCTATAATCTCCTATTCTTAACTCCTATAAAACAAAGAATTTTTCAGAGTTCCAGATTCTTCATAACATATTTCTGTTTATAGTTTGTGGGTAAGATGGTCAAATAAAAGTTTGGCCGTCTAATAAATGATGGCGAACTTCAGGTTTCCCTACTACTTTTAGAACGGTAACAAAACTAAATTAGCAGCCCCTACAACAATTCAAACTCTGAAACATGATCAGAAGGAAATAACAATCGATGCTCCTCAAGAAATGACCTATCCCTCAAGAAATGACCTATCACAATCACATATTATGGGAAAAAACTCTTATGGTATTCAGGGGTTGTGTGACAAAGATTTTGATAAAAATATTTTGATAAAAGTTGATAAATACTTGGTTGAAAAGTTGATAAAAGTTGTGGGTTCCATGAAATGTAGGGGTTAAAATTAAAGTTTGACCTGTTGAAAACTAGATAATTTTTTAAGCAAAGTTTTATCAAAAAAGCAATTAAATAGACTTTAAATCACTTAAATTGTGCATCATTTGAGTCGACTCAACAATAAACTATAAAAACCTAGATTCAGGTCTCAAAAAGACCATTAAAATGGTGTTGAGACACATACATTAAGAGCAGTCAATCTTGTTTTATGAGAGCCAGGTGGAACGCCATCTTCGTATGAATGAACTGTAGCAACAGCTTCAACTTCTCCCTCCTGAAAATGAACAAACACTTGACTACTTATTTCTATATGTCAATAACCTACAAAAGATATGTAGATTCAAATCTATATTATTCAGTTATAATCAGTAAGAGCTCGAGAAGATGACCAATTGAATGCATTTGAAGTTTATTTCACAGGGAAAATAGTGACGTCCTCGATAAACTATCAATGTTCAAGCATTCAGCAAAAGCTTTCTTCAGCTACAACTATTTTTCCAGAAAAGTTGAGATAAACAAGTAACTACTGATATCTAATTTGTAAAGGATATCACTTCTGTTTTTACTCATGAGATCCACAATGGAAACAACGGTGAACTTACTGTTATTTGGCAGAAGGACTCTTTAAGTCTGTTCAGCATCAGATAGTCTATGGGCTTTGTCAGAGCATCAGTACGTATTGGTGGCCATGTTTGATGATGTCTTTGAGTCCAGAGAAGACATCGAGATAGATCCTGCAACCGTGCATTTCTTTATTTTTATGGAACACAACTTTGCACCATATGATTATTTTAAACATATGCATTATCGACGCTTTGAATGCTAAAGTAAGCTACCAAAGCCAAGAGACAAACTTTATGTTCAAATTACAGTTTCCCGCTCTATGTATGAATTTGAAGAATGAAGTGACAAAAACAAAGACAAAACGAAAAGAAATGAAGTAATGCCTTCAAGTTACATGAAATGATGTGAAGTTGATTAAAAAGATTTAACCTGGAAACAATATATCAGTGTTCAAGTACAAAAAGATAAATCCGACACCTTCTGGGGTGAAAATCCAAGACAGGGTTCAATTACACCTGCTAATGCTGAAAAACATTTTAAATAGAGCTCCTTCCATTTTCGGTACTCTCTTGGCATAAAATTAGTGAAGTTGAAAATCTGAAACCAAAACCTCACCTCTCCACCAAAGCATAGAGTAATCTGTGTCGTAGGTAGAGTCACTCCATCCTGAACATAAAATAATGAAGAGAAATAAGGTAATCAATATTAAAAAGCAAATATTATGCCCTTGTTTGATTTTCATTATTTCCAAAATACATTTTTCTCTTATTTTTAACCATACATTTTTCAATAAAATAATACTACACGCAAACCCAAAGTTTTTCCTTATTTTTTAACCGCACATTCTCCATCAAAATACTATTCCAAAATGTATTTTAAAAAATAAATGGGGCTCAAACATGCTCTATATGTCAATATCAGGTGAATTAGTTAAGATAAAAATGTGCAATGCATTTGCTTCTGTGTGGTTTTACCACATGCCTGTGCAAATTCCATCTCCAAGAACTATACAGCCACCTCATGCTTGTGTCCGATACGACATGTATCGGCGTGTCTGACACGTGATTTTTTAAAAAAGTATTAATACGACAAGTCATTGACAAATTGATTAAATTCTTTAAAACCCTTCATTTATATAGTATAAATTTAGTTTTATACTTAGTATTATTTTTCTTGTTGAAATCTTTCAAATATGAGTACTTATTTATTATTCAGAGCCCGTTTGAGCCCCATTTTATTGAAAGAATGTATTTTGAAATAGTAAATTAATGGAAAATGTGTGGTTAAAAAATAAGGAAAACTTTTGTGTTTGCGTTTAATATTATTTTATTGAAAAATGTGTGGTTAAAAAGAAGAGAGAGAAAAATGTATTGAAAATTAATAGAGATGAACAAGGGCTTAATAATAATTTTGAGTTAAATTTAGCCCTTGTTTGAGCTCCATTTTGACGAGGTTTTTAGAAAAAAATTATTTTGGAATAGCGATTTTTTTTGGGAGAATATGTGATTAAAAAAGAAGGAAAAGCATTGGGTTTACGTTTAATATTATTTTATTGAAGACATTATAGTTGAAAAGAAGAAAGAGAAAAATATATTAAAATTAAAATGGAGCCCAAACAGTGACTTAGGCTGTGTCTGGGCCGAATTCTTTGCCAGATTTTGAGTGATTTTTCAACCGTTGCAAAGAACTCCAGCCGCAGAAGTTGACCAAAGATGAGAGGTGTGGGGGCCATTGTTTGAAAAAAACGGCTATATTCCCACTGAAAATCTGATGAAAAGCAGGGCCAGACAAAGCCTTAATATTTCTAATAAAGAAAGAAAAATGACCATGGTAGAGTGTTCGATGAGTATTGGTACATGTTAGATACGGACACGCTAGTAGAAGCGTCCAACACGGACCTTATGGAAACCAAACCATAGAGGTGCTATCTTGATACTTGTGCCAAAAAAAAATGGTCTCAAAGGAGAAGAGTGATAGAATGGCAATGGTGGAACATGACTATATGAGAATAACGGGCACTGGATGCAGTTATAATTCTGCTGTACCAGATAATGTTTACCGTAAAAGAGAGGCAACTCTGGGAAAAGGTAACAACCTACAGTTTCTTTTTGGTGGTAGGGGTAGAAGTTCCAGAAACAAAGTGATCATGCTAACAGCACTATTGATGAAAGCACGAATAAGATAACAAACTGAATGTTAAAAACATCCCAATTGTACCCTCAGGTATTGTTCATATGAAAATTGTCATCCTCAACAGCCAGGTCAGAACTGCACTGTTGAAAGGAATAATAACACACCTCAATGCAGATCACTGATGTCACCTGAGCACCTATATTCACAACACATGCAGTTGATAAGCCATTCCCAAAAACTGCGGCAAGACCTTCCTGCATAGTATAGATTAAAGAGCAGCACCATAACTTAGGTACAGAAGGAAAAAGAAAGGTAAAGTCATACATACGAGGGTGAGAGCTAAGTGCACGAACACTGTATTGTTTAGTATTAATGAAAAAACTACAGGAAGAAGTAGAGAGAGGTAATTTTGTAACACTGCAAGTAACATCAACAAGAGTGGGTAGCTTCTAATGGAAATCAAGAAACTTGAAAACATCTTAAGACAATCTGGAGTTTGTGATTAAATATTCACAGGAAAATATTACCTGGTGGACCACTGCTGTGCTGAAACACAAGTCCCGCAACACGATTGATAGTACTTCTTTTATTTCTGGTCACAACAGTAAAATATATGATAACATGTCAAGTTCACATGATACATTCAAATATTTGGTTACAGGTCAGTGCTCAATGTAAAGATATAATATAGGAATTGAAGAAAGAAATTGAAGTCAACTATTAACACATTTGGTAATGACAGAGGGAGGGGTTCAGCATCATTATCCTTGATATGGAACATGCACAAACAATTAGTCCATGACTTCTCCATTTTTCGATCTCATTATGAGCACCAATAAGAAAGACATATTGGTCCACACGATGTACAATCTTTCAATTTTTAGCACGAGTCAAACATGCTACATTGTGTTAACCATAGGTAATCAAAAAGACATGCTCCGGTGATCTATATGCATATAATAACAGTCATTACTCTAGGTCGTACCATATCCTCGTGACTGATATGAAGCAAGATAAAGCTTTCCAGATGGAGCCAGTACACAAAAAAGGACAACAAAGCATTCCATCATGAATGAATAGAGCCTTCAAATTTTTATAAGATAATAAGAGTTAAATAACGAATGGTGTGCCTAGTCAATTAGACCATACTCGCCTTTTTCCCCTTTTTTCCCTTAATTTTTTGGGCAACACTTGACTTCTTGAATTAAAGCAACAAGTGACCACCACTTAATGCTTACAGTATTCTGGTTGATAGAAGGACTTTTCAGAAACAACCAGACAAGGTGTTAGTATTCAAAATTTTCCTCAGGACAGAAAACCTGATATTTACTAAAACTGGAGCTTCAAATTGAAAGTTTCTACTTTCAAGAAGATAAAGCACGGAAGTCTTCCTAATGAATGAACAATAACCATTTTACAGCATGATCGTATCTCTTAGCATACATTGATCATTCATGATATGCACAACTGATTTCATCTTAATGAGTAAATGTTTATTCTTCAGGTGAAGTATCAGAACATAAGCTTCACAATTTTAACTTCAGGAAGAATGTTGTCAATGTCAGAACAATCACGAGAGTGGCAATGCCATACAACTAAAAAAGATATTCATATCAAAAGGAAGTGAGTTAAATATATATGTAAGCAAACATGCCTGCAGATACCCCTGCTATCTAACCTCCACTTGACTCCTGGACCAAGCCTTTTTTTTTTCATTATTTTTTTTCCAAGTTACAAAAATTTAGATAACTAGCATCATATAATTTGCTCACTGTTCAACAATGTGAAGTGAAATATGAGGACAATACGGTGTAATTACCACGATTATCAAATGTCTCAGGGACGACAAGAATAGCTGAATACTTATTTCTTTCACTATGAGGGATGTGCAGCTTCTCAATCAAAATCCAATCCCAAATAGCATGCAGATCTTCAAGTACCTGTAAAATAAATAACATGTCATGGAGGTGGAAAATGGCTAAGTGCAAGCAAAGAACTCCAAAACAATTTTTTCAACCACTCACTAGATGGCAAAATTATATTCTTTTGCATAAGGCAAAGTGAATATGGAAAAACATTTTCATGAAAAATCAAGGCTTTTTTAAGTGTTGAAAATGACAGTTGCAAGACCACAACCTGCCACTTCCCCTCCACAATCAACGGCGAAAATGAAATGCTCATCTCATGCACAAAATGAGTTAAGAAAATCCTAAGTCTAAATTACACAAATAGTTGACAAATATCAAAAGACAGTACCTGCTGCATTGAATAATGTTGAGATATGTTTAGGTGACCTCTACGGATAGGTCGACGCAAGCAATATGGTTCACTGGGTGCTATTCTTAGAGCTTCCTCACCGCAAATATATTCCCTATGTTTACGTTGACTTGAACTGTGCTCACCCCTGTCATTACCATCCTTCTGGAATGGAAAATCTCCGGATTCATCTTTTGTTGAAGAATTTCCTGCAACACCACCGTTATCAGGATTTGATATATAATCCAGGAAGCACCAAGCGTTCCATCGCACGGCATATTTAGAATAATGACCTAAAAACATTAATCCAAAAGCCTTGCCAAACATGAAGAGAGAAGATTGATGCACAACTGTCTCACAGAAACAAACAAGAACGTCATTTGCCAGCTCATTTAGAAATTTCCAGAACAATCATATCTCAACCCAATAACAAATTTTAACAACAGGATTCATAAGCTATAGACTAAAGTCAATAAATTGCAGAAAGAGTATTGAATTTATTATAGTAACTAAGTCTGAGGACAAAATAATTACTAAAATGAAGCAAAAGGGACCTATAAAACTAACGAGTCATTCAAGATGTATTTCACTCTCACAGAAACTATTGATTAATGGTTGGGTGCATTAACTCATGTTACACTTGCGGAATAAATAATAAGAATAGTTAAGATTTTAATTCATCTATCAAAATATTTTAACCCCTTCCCGAACCCAGTAACCAGAAGAATTTTTTCACCAATCAAAGGACAAAATGTCCCCAAGGTAACATAATAGAAATCAGGATATGAAGATGAACGTATGGCCTTACTAAAATGAATGAGGAAAGAAATGGAAATATATATATATGCCAACAAGTTGAGGACACAATTTTAAAGAAATGACAGCTTGGATAATCGGGCATGTCATTTGTAAACTAAAAAAAGCTTTCATACACAAGAGCAATGTGAACATGAAAACTAGACGCAAATTAACACGATATAATGTGGTTGCAAAAAATTTAATTTTATTGGTTGAAGCATTTTTTCTTATAAAAGATTCATGATGCAGGCCCGAAATTTATTGCGAATAAAAGTTAGTTTTTTATTATAGCAAAACAAAATAATCGCTCTCGTGGCCATACACCCAAAGGTTAAATTTTAGCATTTTTCTACAGGCGAACCAGAAATTATAGGTTAAAAAAAAAACTACAGGTCTTACGTATGGTGTTGAAAGAAAATCTTGACACGAGTAAGGCAAGGGCTTTGAAAGGGTCGAATTATGTAGTGTGGCTATTTGAGAATGATTTTACAGTCCCATTGCCAGACCAAATATGAGTACAGAAAGAGAGACACATCCCTTACCCCCAGTTTGACTTTTACAGAACATTTTGACCCTTTTAAAGTCTTAGTTTCAGTTTATTTTCGGTGAAAAAGGATTTACTTGGGAGGATGGCAAGAACATAGAATATCCTTATATGAGTGCTTTAAAAAATCTGGTACAAATACAATTATGTCACAAGCAGTTACTGCCAAGCTTTCACAAGTAAATTAACATGACAAAAAGTAGTGCTTGAAGTTCATGGGCCTTATGTTGTCAAATAAAATTTAATATTATTACGTTCATTCCATCTGCCAAATCTAATATGATAAAAATCAAGTATGATAATCAAAATTCCACTACATAGTTCATCAAAAGTCTGTATCATAAGAGCATATAATACAATTAGCAATATTCATATATAGAAAGTAAATGCAGCATTTAACAATCCGAAGTGCATGCTATTTAAGAAGAGAAAATGTGATCGCATACGCAAGGAAGTGAAGCTCACTAGAATCTAGCTACCTGTTTTCAAAGATGAAGGATTGCTGATCTCAAATACATCAGTCCAAGGAATGACTGTCTCTTTCTTATTATTACCCTGAGGCTGAAATGCATCCACACGACCCATCTGCACCGTAAAATTACACATTCTTTTAGATAAATTTCAAGTTTTAGATAAATATACCTTTTTGAAAGTCTTTTCTACCAAAGCATACCTTTTGAGGGAATTGAACGTTTGCCACCTCTTCATCTAGAAACCGAATTTTCAACAGTGATGCAATCTGATAAAATTAAGAGATAAAACAATAAATGGTTTACACTAGTTCATGAGTGTTAAGAATGAACTGTGGTAAGTTACACTATTTATCATATATATTTTGTTTCACTAACAATATCATAAGCCCTTTCACGCTCCATGTGCTGTGGCGTTGTAACCTGGGAATTAAGCAACTGCACAAAAAGGAAAAAAAATGAAGAAAATGAAGAAAACTAAGATAAATCATGGGGAATTCGGAGAATGAAGTGACCTGGTCTTGAACACTTCTTTTGGGGACTTGAGTTGTTCGTCGAGCAATGCAATGCGGAACATTTAGAGGAGTGTCCTGTTGTGCCAGTCCTATTCTTATGTTTGCTGAGCCTAGATTACACGTAAGGAAAAAAAAATATATATAGAAAAGTTAAAACGGAAACCAAGAATTTTACAAGAATACTATTGAACATATTATTTAGGGGAATGCTCTGTTGTGAGAATCATATTCTTATATTTGCTGAACCTGGATTACACAAAAGAGAAAATTAAAAGTTCAATTCGATTATTTTTAATCGAATTGAAGATTAAAAATAAGAAAGTGGGCTCTGAGAATATATGTGTGTGATTTAGGGGAATGTCCTGTTTTACGAGACGCCAGTCCTACTTTTTTTTATGTCTGCGGAACCAAGAATTACACACAAGAAAAAATAATTCAAAAGCAACCAATAAATCAAAAGCAACCCAAAAATATTGGAATATTGGGTGTACCTGGGTTGATGACGACGAGGTGGGATCCACGTTCGGCGAGGAGTTGAGAGGGCACTACTGTTTTGAGGTAATCCTGAGTTCATCACCGAATGATACCCAAAACTCAATTGTCAAGCAAGGATTTTCAGTATGATTGTGTGTGTGTGTGTGTGTGTGTGTGTGTGAGGGAGGGAGTGAGAGGTTAGGGGTGGGGGGCGCTTACCATAGCAGGGCATGAACTATGAAGAATGGAGTTCGTCAGTTTCATAGATACATCTCAATTCCAGTTTTATTCTTCCCTCTTCCCAATCTACCCCTTGCTTAGCAAACAGTAAATACCCATAAGCAAATTTAAAGAAAATAAGTCCACTATTTATATAGATCTTTTACAACTTATTTTTTAAATATATTTAATAAAATAACGTTAAGTATGAATATATAATTTTTCATTACTCTTTAATCACATATTCTCTAGAAATAAATTATTTTTCACAAAATTTATTCTAAAAAAATCTACATCAAATAAGTTTGAAGTAGTGATTGAGTTGTGCACCAAATTTACACTAGTTCATGAGTGTTAAGACTGAACTGTGGTAAGTTACACTATTTATCATATATATTTTGTTTCACTAACAATATCATAAGCCCTTTCACGCTCCATGTGCTGTGGCGTTGTAACCTGGGAATTAAGCAACTGCACAAAAAGGAAAAAAAAATGAAGAAAATGAAGAAAACTAAGATAAATCATGGGGAATTCGGAGAATGAAGTGACCTGGTCTTGAACACTTCTTTTGGGGACTTGAGTTGTTCGTCGGGCAATGCAATGCGGAACATTTAGAGGAGTGTCCTGCTGTGCCAGTCCTATTCTTATGTTTGCTGAGCCTAGATTACACGTAAAGGAAAAAAATATATAGACAAGTTAAAACGGAAACCAAGAATTTTACAAGAATACAATTGAACATATTATTTAGGGGAATGCTCTGTTGTGTGAATCATATTCTTATGTTTGCGGAACCAAGAATTACACACAAGAAAAAATAATTAAAAAGCAACCCAGAAATATTGGAATATTGGGTGTACCTGGGTTGATGACGACGAGGTGGGATCCACGTTCGGCGAGGAGTTGAGAGGGCACTACTGTTTTGAGGTAATCCTGAGTTCATCACGGAATGATAACCAAAACTCAATTGTTAAGCAAGGATTTTCAGTATGATTGTTTGTGTGTGTGTGTGTGTGTGTGTGTGTGAGGGAGAGAGTGAGAGGTTAGGGGTGGGGAGCGCTTACCATAGCAGGGCATGAACTATGAAGAATGGAGTTCGTCAGTTTCATATATACATCTCAATTCCAGTTTTATTCTTCCCTCTTTCCAATCTACCCCTTGCTTAGCAAACAGTAAATACCCATAAGCAAATTTAAAGAAAATAAGTCCACTATTTATATAGATTTTTGACAACTTATTTTTTAAATTTATTTAATAAAATAACATTAAGTATGAATATATAATTTTTCCTTACTCTTTAACCACACTCTCTAGAAATAAATTATTTTTCACAAAATTTATTATTCTAAAAAAATCTACATCAAATAAGTTTTAAGTAGTGATTGAGTTGTGCACCAAATTGAAGCTTGGTGACTTAATTGCAAGTATGGTAAAATTTGTGATGGTTACTAAATTGATGATGATTAAAACTTAGGATGAATAGCAACATTTGATGAAAAATGGACTGACATGTTGGGCATCACTATTATCTTTGAGAGACTTGTCAATAGGTTCATTGACAGGATCGAAATGAAAGTACATTAAGATTTCTATAAAATAATGATTTTTGGATCCAAAAAAAACTATTATTTTAGATGAATTACTAATTTATCGATACATGAACAAAATGCGATGGATGACAATGATCTCTTTAATTGTCTTATTTATTTATGTTGGGTCTTAAAAGATTTTAAATAAAATTATTATCTTATACATTTAGCGAGATTTTAATATTAGCTCGAGTTGGGATTGAAAATTTCTATTAAATAACTGAAGTTATTAATTTATCAAATATTCATTTATCGAGATTTTACTGCATGTTGAAAGTTCAGTGAACTTCAATGCAATTTAGCAAATGTTCAGTTTTTGGTATTTTTATTCATAAATTTTTAAGTAGTGAGCAAAATAACAATAAATCAAAAACTTTGACGTGTCACCACTCTTTAGATGGATCGTGCAAGACCAGTACAAGAAATAGCAACAAATTCCAGCACATATTAGCAGGTTTTGTTCTTCAAGAAACATACTTCGATGCATTGTTTTTTAGATACAAGAAGAAAAAATAGAATTTGAATGTGCCCAATTACGTAGTATTCCACCCGTGAACAAGGAATTTTCTAGTGTAGCTTGTTAGGCTAAAGTCGACCGAAATAAGAACATACTACAAAATACAACATTAGAGAAATGAAGAATGCACCTGTGTTTAAGCTTGTAAGGCCTAATTTGAAACCATATACAAAAATAATCATCTACCATCTCTTCATAGATATGCGTACGCCATCTTTCTTTTCGTAAACTTGTTCTTGTGTTGCCTCCTTGAAATAGAGTTCTTCATCCCAAGAAAAATTACAATGCACCGAAGAGTACACAGCCAAAAAATGTAAATCAAGTTAATGGCGTTAACTCACATCAAACAAGATGCAGAAGTGTCATGTACTCGTGTTCAAATTGCATGTGTAGCATATCAACTCATATAAGAGTCTGAAAAAGTCGGGTTGGCTGATATTATGGTTGTAGAAATTGTACATAAAAGGGAAAGGCATTTATGAACATAGCCCTTATTTGGGCGTTGTCTGGGCCTGCTGGTCTTCGAATTTAAATCAAAAATTGGACCATTGGCTTTGCAACAGTCCAAAAATCACAGCCCATGATTTTCGATCTTTTCATTTTCTACCCTTGCTTGGTGTGTAGTAGCAAACACATCCCACCTACCTCTCCTTCCCCTAACCACCACATCCGAACTCTCTATTATTGTCCTTCAACAAACAACCGACATTGTCACAGCCGGAAATCAATTTCAAAGTTATTCGACCGCAGATTGCACCAATACATTGAAAGGGAACCCGCCATTTTTCTTTCTTCACTAGCGGGCTGCTGAATATCTTAGGTTTCTTCTGCGATCTCTTCTTCTACAGAGGCAGCCACAGTGAAATCAATGCAGATCGAAGACGAAAATTAATGCATCTGTAGCTTGGGGAAAGTTTGAGTTGAATAGGCTGCTCATTTAATTAATCCAGATCTGGATGAAGCTTCAGGCTTCTTCGCAGCCAACAACTTCTCTGAAAAGCCTGAAATTTCGAAATCTATGGGAGTTGATAATTTCTGAAATCGGACCATTCCCAAGCAAATACCTGCTTCTAGCTTTAATTTCGACTCATCCTTTCGGAGATTCTCCTCCTGCAGTAGGTCCATCCCACGCTTATCCTTCAAACATTTTGTCCGCCATCTTCTTCACCTTCGCGTTCTGTAGGAAGCACTTAATTCGATGGATCCATTCGAACCTTCTCCGGTAAGTGAATGATTGTTTACTTCCATTTCAAAGTCCAATTTTCTATTGGTTGGATCATTGAGTATGATTGTTTGCTACCATTTCAAACACAATAAAGTGGGTGATTATTGTAATATCTAATTTTTATTAAAGTTGAATCTTCATACTGACTGAGCCGTTATGAAGTCCAATTTCAAAGTCCAATACAACATTTTTACCATCCGCACTAATCTCTTGTAATATTACCCACAAGGAAACTCCTCCGCCTCGACCGGCCTTGAAGTTCACAACCATATGGTGCAACAAAAAAATGTACAGTGGAATGCACATGAGACCACCATCTTCATGGCTGCGAGTCCATTATCGCTGACGGACACCGGAATGGAAAGTGCTTTACCAAACACGGTTGAGATACATTAATCAACCTGCTCAACACCAATTCCGGCCGCAATTGGAACAAACAACGGCTGAAAAATAGATGGAATGCCCTCCATACAAAACACAAGCGATTTGAGGAATTGCTTAACTGCTCTAGCATCTCATACGACCCGTCAACTGGCAAGATTGGAGCCTCTGAAGAGTGGTGGAATCGAAAAATTAAGGTACCATCGTCTCATTAACCTCAACTCATTGTTCAATTGTGTGCTGTGATGAAGGGAAACGGTTTAGCCTTTCTCGAAATGTTTTTGGATGCCAACATGATATGATAGGCTGTGCATTATGTGAAAGTGGCTGTGGATGGATGAATTGCATGAACAGTAATTGTCTAGTTTCTAGGTTTTGTGTACGTTTATTGGTAATTATCATTTTTCACATTCGTCATTTGCATGTAAATCATTGTATAGTCCTTCCACTGCTCAGGAAACTGAAGTATGCAATCTTTTGTTTCTTCATATGTTGATGTACCCCCCTTTTATTAAAAGGTTTGGTTTTACTGTTTTGTTTCCTCCTAACTGGAGCGGCTTCGTGTGTGGTTGTTGTGTACTGTGAAAGTATTACGACCCCGAGTCATTTGTGTGAATGTGTATTATTTTTGTATCATTTTCTAAGTCGTTTCTATTCAATTAATAATCAGGAGAACAAGGACTATAAAGAATACAAGGACAAAGATTGTCGGGAGGTGTATCGATACAAGACGTTATTCAGGGATGTCTTCGACAGTGATAAGTACGTAGTGAGTCCAAGCAAGCTGTGTTGCATAGGTTTCGCAATGTTCGAAGACAGTGCTGCTGAAGATCACCGTGATGAGATCCCGGTGGATGTGGAGAGTAGCGGCTCCAGTGACGAGGGCATCGAACCCAAACAGGCTCCAACAACCATGGATATGTCAGGCCCGCATAGTGGTGATAAATGAAAAGCAGCTAGAGCTCGAGGGAAGGTGAAGAAGAAGTTTTCGTCGCAGGATGTGTTGTTTTCAGTGGATCGTGCGACCACAGCCAATGAGAAGATGGCGTCCGAAATTGACCAGATAATTGGACCAGCTGTGTCAGACCCAAAAACATGGATGCAGGAGCTATTGTCTACGGGTCGACTGCAAGTGTATACCGATTTGTACTACTGGACATGCTCATTCCTCCGGGACAAAAAAAATAGGGAGATCTTGGACATGCAAGCCACTGCGGACCTGAATTTTGCATTGGTTGAGTGGAGTTGGAAAGAGTATAAAAAATGAGCGCCACCATGATGGCTATTTTATTCAGCTTGCATGGAGAGTCGTGACACAGTTTCTCCTTCCTTGTTGGTGTTAAAGTATAATGGAACTGTTTTGTAGTTTTTAGGTAAAAACATTTTCCATGCATTCCTTTATTGTTTGTATTTCTCCATGTGTACTGTTTGTATTATCTGGATGTGTACTGTTCTTATATTTAAGTTGAAAATATTGTCAACCGGTTTTTATTTTCCTTATGCACTGTAATAACCACTTTCCATGTGCTGAGAAATAAATTGTTGAAGTGCACTCCATTATTGTGATTCTTTTAGATTTGCAGCAGCTTGCACGGTTTTTCTTTATCATTGATGTGAAGATATGTACTTTAGTAGGTAAAACAAATTACCCACTCACAAGTTAACTGTACATGTATGTGTTGTACGTGAATTATTTGTATAAATTGTACTTTCCTTTTCACTATAAAAGGCAAGGGAAAGCAACATCATTTCATTGCCCTAAAAAAGCATCGTCTTTTATATTTGCCTTAGAAAAGCATCGTCTTCTATATTTGCAGTAGAAAGTAAGTGTTCAGTTTTAATTTCGAAATGAACTGCGATTTGCATCAAACATCCGATGTCGATGACGACATTGACGACGAGGCATTTATGGAATGGCTATTGTTGGATATGATTGAGTGGTTTCAATATTGTCAAATAAGTGAGGTGCGTGTATGTAACTACTATCGTGAACAACGACATCGTGTTGCTCGATATCCGTTCGCTCGCAATGGGCACATATTTATGCTAGATGCTATGAATTGTAGCCCTCAATAGTGCTACGCGAAGTTACGCATGTACCCTGTCATGCTGCGAGCATTTGCCCACGTGCTACGAGATGAGTACAGCCTACGTAGCCAGCAACATATAGATGTGTACGAGCAAGTGGGTATGTTTCTTTGCATTCTNAACTACTATCGTGAACAACGACTTCGTGTTGCTCATTATCCGTTCGCTCGCAATGGGCACATGTTTATGATAGATGCTATGAACTGTAGCCTCAACAGTGCTACACGGGGTTTCGCATGTACTTCGCGATGCTGCGAGCATTTGTCGACGTGCTACGAGATGAGTACGGCCTGCGCAGCCAGCAATATA